AACAGCAAATAACAGCAGCGTGAATAGCAAATAGCGGCAGCGTGAATAGCAAATAGCAGCAGCGTGAATAGCATAGCAGCAGCGCGAATAGCAAATAGCAGCAGCGTGAATAGCAAATAGCGGCAGCGTGAACAGCAAATTGTAGCAGCGTGAACTGCAAATAGCAGCAGCGTGAATAGCAAATACCAGCAGCATGAATAGCAAATAGCGGCAGCGTGAACTGCAAATAGCAGCAGCGTGAATAGCAAATACCAGCAGCATGAATAGCAAATAGCAGCAGCGTGAACAGCAAATAGCAGCAGCGTGAATAGCAAATAGCAGCAGCGTGAATAGCAAATAGCACAGTGTGAATAGCAAATAGCAGCAGCGTGAATTGAATAGCAAATAGCAGCAGCGTGAATAGCAAATAGCAGCAGTAAGAATAGGAAATAGCAGCAGCGTGAATTACAATTAATTAGCGGCAGCGTGAATAGCAAATAGCAGCAGCGTGAATTACAATTAGCGGCAGCGTGAACAGCAAATAGCAGCAGCGTGAACAGCAAATAGCAGCAGTAAGAATAGGAAATAGCCACAGTGTGAATAGCAAATAGCCACAGTGTGAATAGCAAATAGCAGCAGCGTGAATAGGAAATAGCATATCAGGGAGGCTGTTCCACATGTCGGTGACTCGAAGCGAGAAGAAATGTTGTCGCATGGATGTGTTCCAACGCTGTTTTTTTAGTTTATAGCCGTGGCCCCTGGTGTTGGTTCTTGTTTCAAATTCTTTTTAATCCTTCTGGGACCTTGTATAAGTCATGAGTATACTTGTATGCTTCAATGAGGTCCCCACGCAGACGTCGATAACTGAGGCTTGGAAGCTTCGTAATCTTTAATCTTTCCTCATAGGACTTGCCTTTCAAGCCCGAAATTATCCTTGTCGCACGTCTTTGAATATTCTCTATTAAATTTTTGTCATTTTCAAGTTTCGATGACCACACGACGTTTCCAAACTCCAGGTTCGGGCGCACGACAGCAACAAACAACTGCTTCATCGCTTCTGCATCTAGGAACTCGAAAGAGCGTCTGATCAGTCCAAGTCGTTTATTGGCTTTATTAGCTTGACATTCAAAATGCTTAGAAATTTTCATCTCATTGTCGATATTAACTCCCAAATCTTTTTCCATTGTCGACTTCGACCACATCACTCTGTCGTTGCAACCGTGTCTTCTCACACTGTAATCTTGCTGTTCATTATTCTTGCCAAGGCGGATTACTTTACATTTGTCAGCGTTAAAACGCAGCTGCCACTTATCAGCCCAGTCAACCAGCCTGTCAAGATCACCTTGCAACTGTACATTTTGCGACGTATTCTTCACTTTATTATAAATTTTAGATCTTATATAAAACCTTAGACCAGTTTATATAAAAACATTAATCGAGTCTAGAAATACATTAATAATTTTATAAAAAAAAACATAAGTCGATTTTGTATATAAAACATGTCAATTTCATATAAAAGCAATATCGAGTTTATGGGAAAACAGTAGTCGATTTCACATACAAACTCTAAGTCGAGATTAGCTCTCACCTTAACGATGCTTCAACCGCACGCAAGAGTGTCGCATCGTCTACATTGCTCACTATTAATGCTGTACAAAATACTTCATATAATCCAGCTAGCCAGTGAGGGGAGGAGATCAAACTGCGGATCCAATATGGAATAGGAGATCAAAGCAGGTTTTTTTTGCGGTGTATGGAATAATGATGAAGTTTCGTATGGCTAAAGATCGTTCCCGTTAATTATTCAATTCGGATCAAGAGGAAGCTGGAGAAGAAAGTAATTGAGAATGGATGAGCGGGGCGGTATTGAGTGTACGAAGCGATTAAAATACGATAAAATGATCCGTAAAAATAACGTAATCTTTTCCAAAATGACTCAAGGGATTGGGGATACAGACATCGCTGCTGCATAGTAACCGGTTTAAGGACTTACTGTTTTTTTGTCTTGCTGTTAGAGGGGCCATTGTGTTTTAATTATTACTATATGAGCGACCAATTCCAAGATTTTTACGGAAACAAAGAATGTCTTACGAAGAATACGACTCTCTACACTCAAAAAATTGTTTGATGTCATTGTCCAAATAGTGACGTGTTTCTTACGCATCGCAAGAGCAGACAGCTGATGGAGCCCTGATACGCTCTTTTGCCGGGCCAAACTGGTTCAAGTTGACCCACACAAGGCCAAAAGGTGCATCGCTATTTGCATAAAATTAATATTAATTAATATATTAATTATTATTTCTGGGTATTAATATTTCTGGGTATTTAAAGGTATGATCGAGTGCACGTGAGTTTTATACTATATGGTATGAGGTCCAATGTTTGAGTATTGCAGGTTATTGCAATGTAAAAAATCTGATATACGTTTTGCAAAAATGATACTGATGGAAAAACTAAAATTTTTCCGTTATCGGATCTTGGCTAATGATATAATATAATAAAATGATTAAGAACTCATAAAAAATAAGGCCTATACAATTCGACCTTCATTTGTGACTACATATATTTAGGCCAATATAAATGCTTATTAGGCCTATATTTCGCGGCCCTGCAGAGAACACCTAAACCTTGGTTATGCCTCCATGAATAAATTATCTGCTATCGACATGAGATCGATGTCTTCACAAAGGCCCAGGAAATTACTCTCATTGATTTCTTATTGCAGTATTAATTTCCAGTGTTAAAGTAATTACAAGCGTTTTTATATCATGAAAATATTGTCGCTCTTAAATATATAAACTGCCGCTATATTTTTTTAAACTAAAATTATCATCGTTATTAGAAATTCATGTTTGTAGGTCTTAAATTATTTGGACAGAATGCGTCGTTAAAAACATTTTTCTGCGTAATAAAAGAAACAAACCTAAGGTTTTATATTTCTAAAATGTAAATTTCTGCTTTTAGATACGATATTAATTATGATATTAATTTTTATGTTCTAATTATCTTGGGCAGATGAGCGTAAAACAACACGCATGCTTCTAGCTCAAAGCGTCGATTCGCAAGCAAATAACTTTGGAAAAAACGTCATTGCAAGGCCTGTGTATACATCTACGAACACGTGAATAAAGTTACACGAAACTCATCTTCAAATACTCGTTGGAAAACCTTTAACGAAAACGTCAATAGAGAGACGCACGAAATTTGTATTTATATACCTAATAGCTAAATTTTTAACGTATGCGTTGAGCGAAACGCGCGAAATCTTCATTCAAATACATTCCAGTAATTTGTTTACCGAATACGTTAAACGTATTCGTTCTACGTTCAATCATAATAAAATTTTAACAACCAAAATGAAACAAACGAAACCTCTAATTGAATTCATCCTTCTTGAATTTGTAACGAATGCCTCAAACGCGACACAAAACTTATATTCAAAAACATTGTTTCAGACACATCAACGTCGAGGTTACACCACAACATTAATTGGCTTTCTCAAAAAAATAACACAACCAAATTTATTGGTTTTCTAAAAAAAACATTATTTTAATTGATTTGGACAAAAGCAATGTTGAGATGGGAAGCTCGAAAACACATCTATACAGTGACACTTAATGCACATGATACAGTATAGACACGCGTACATTTATTGTCAGATGTTACATAAATAGGAATGTATTCAGATCTTAATGAATGTATTCAAGTAGCCGTAGTCATGTTGAATGGTTGACCGTAACTTTAGAGATGAACTTAAATGTACTTAAACTTTGCAATCACCGCATCAATGTTAACATAAACATCAATAAATGCATCAATCAATCTGTATCATTATCCTGAACCGGCATTAAATTCCTTTGTAATCTTACGTCTGCAGAAACGACATAAGAACCTTCTCAAATACAATAAAATATCTTATTTAGTCTATGTTTGAATGAAAAAATATGTACATGTATGTATTTATGTATGTATGTATGTTTGATACAAAAAATATGTGTGTTTAATATTTCCAATTTTCCCACGTATGATGCAGGCTGAGTTCTAAGAATTCTCAATGCCCACACTCAGATAAATGGATAGGTCTTCTTGTCCAAACATTGATATACTTTCATACCCATAGCAAGTGCAGACTAAGAATGTATCAATGATACTCTTTATTGCTGGGCCAAACTGAGTCAAAATGACGCACACAATCGCAAAATTTGCATCATTATTTGAGCTAAGTCTTCCTCATTTCTCTGCGTGCACCAGGTTCAAAGTAGCCTTAATTAGTGTACGCAAGAAACAATGTTAATTAATTGATTAATTTCCATTTAACTACTTTTAATTAAATTTAATTTTAAAAGTTTTTTTCATCAATTTTTGCATTGGGTCAAGATTCGTGCATCATTGAAATGAATTTTACATTATTGAACTTTACTTTTTACTCTGAACATGAAATTTACTTTATTTTAATGAAACCATTTTAATATAAAGAAGGGAATTTTTTAATCATATTAGGAAGTTATTTGGTAACGTCAGAGCAATGACATATATAGGGTAACTTCTATGTTATTTACGGTACTCGACAAAGCTTATTTTAAAATTGTTGAATTACCATTGATGGAAAAACGTGTGTAATTTTAATGAGATAAAGCTGGTGCATTAGTTATATACAAGTTAAATAAGCAATTTATTACCTCTTATGGAACGGATTAACTAGGATTAACAAGAACGAATGTTAGCGAGGAAAAATGACTAATTTAGCCTTTTTTACCTTCAGTAGGTATAAATAATAACTGATATAGACGATAAATTCTTAATTAACTTCAACGAAAACTTGCAATGCTCGGTTCCGAGAAATTCGTCCAACACGATATTGAAGATTTATTTCTATTGAAGAAATTTCAAAAGCAAATTAATGATATTTTTTCAAATGCAAGTCAATGATATTGACAGTCCACAAGAATTTGTTATTTATACTTTTTTAGAATTCAATAAATTATCTGTTGGTTCCACTAGATGAAACTAAAATAGCTTACCTTCATTATTAATCCCTGGTACTGGGAGATTTTCAACGATGAACAAATTTTTTACCAATAATCGGAACGTAGAAGTACAGCAATGGTTGGTTATGGCACTGATGCTGCAGGTGACACCACACGTGCTCCTCCTCTGACAGCTCGTCACCGACTGGAGCTTGCCCGAATGCAAGACCTCGCGAGTCGCGAGGGTATCAATGAGGGATTGTCGAAAAAAATGAAAGGGCCATTTTGTCCAAATAGTGATTCACTTTTTCCACGGAGCAGAGATACGCCATGTCGCTAGGGGAAAATTGAGTAATTTTTACCAACTTAAGGGCGAAAAGTGCATCGTTATATGGTCATATCTCACTCATTGGTCTGAGTATATGCAAGTTTGATTAAAGACATACACTTATATATAAAATAACACGAGTAATATCATGCGTAAAATTATAGTTTTAATTAACGAATAAGATACTGATTGACTTCACGGAAACATCGGGCACTGATATTTTCTTTACTGAAACTATTTACATCATATTTCATGGCGATGTCGATTCATTAGATTTGAATATTAGGACATTTTTTGCAAGTACATTTATCTTGATCCACTTTGCTGTATCATGTTATGTGTGTAATAAATATGATCTGTATTCAAAATTTTATTTAGAAAAAAGTGAACTGTTAACTGTGATCGAAAACGAGTGCATAGATCACTCCTTCCGTATTTGAGATTTATATGGAAAAATGCTTAACATCGCTATAAAAAGAGCATTTTATTTTTTTTTGTAAAAAATAAATAAACATACAAAATAACAATGTTATTACAAAATAAGATGATTTGGTAAATGTAATTTTTTTATTTTATGTTATATTTACTTCGAAGTTCTTCTGTGCTTTTCGTCATCAGTTCTCCGGCTCCCTATACATGCCGACACAGAAGCAAATTGTTTTACCTTGCAAGTTTGAATGATCAACTAGCGTGTAAGGTGTCGGATCGCTTCTTTTCTGTGCTGTTTTAGATTTTTTTCATGTATTCACATTAAACGGACCTCTTGTAGGCACGTAAGTATGTCGTATACGAGTGTATGCACGTTAACGACTATAGATGATTTTTTTATGAAAGTATTTTTTTCGAAAAAATTTCGGGGCGATGGCTTGCACTCCATGTTCAAATTTCAATCAATTGTCAATCAACGTTTTACTATTAAATCAATCCTAATATATTTGTTAACCAGTATTTTAAAAATGTTTCTCATTATTATTTATTGTTGTTTGTATTATTATTATTATACAAAGCATTATTATATTATACATAGTCGATTTCAATATCGAAATAAGTTAGTCCTAGAAATGTCAATTTTCTGCGTTAATTCAAAGAAAATATTGTATTAGAGCAGTAACTGTATATTCATTCATGACGGGTCGACCGTTGAATGCGCCTTGATTGATTAATACATCTCACAAAAAACTTTTCAAGATCATAGAAAATGAGGCAAAGAGCCTAAGTAATTTTTTCTGCAGTTTTACTAATGATGAAAAATTTTCAAATAGTTCATGAGGCACTTGTGCCACGTTTCCCCAAAATGACTAGAAAATTATCTTATACATAGAATATAATATCCTTTAAATATCATTTATTTAAAATCTGTAACTCATTGGCTTGCTATTCAATTCTCACGTTTCATTGTTTTCTACTTTCTCACTTCTTTTTCACGCTTAATTTTTGTCCACCAGACCTTCACGAAACACGGGCGGAAATACATACCTTATTGAAAATCAGCGCCGCGTCAGAAGTTTTGGTCGCCCAAGGTTGACATGTCGAGGTAAGTTTTTGTTGGAATTCAAAAGAAATTATGTAATTTGTTTGTTAATAAATAACCATGTGACATCAATAGACGGTAATTAAGATTTACAATTTCACGACGTCGCGTGGCGGTGTGAAGGTAACGAATATTCGTTCCAGATGTCGAATTTCTTCTGCGTTCGCCGCGATATTCAAGACCCCAAGAACCGAAAAAGTTCGAGTTACTTTATTCATGGTAATTAATCTTAAGTAAACGGTGTATTATATTATTCTTCTGCGCGATGCTTACGTGTAATGCTTGTTGAAACGCCATCCGAGTGAGTGTATAACTAAGAGAAAATTTTGAAATTTTGATCTTTAATTAAAAATTTGACTTCTATTTCATTTCAGACTCTCAATTTTGTGAAAAAATGTTCGAATTGACTTTGCCTGCCATCGATGATTTGTTGTGGAAGAATGATAGTTTATGCTTAAATTTAAATAGTCAAAATGTGGTAAAAAATTTGTAGAGTAAAGTGTCGAACGTTCTAATTTCGATCGCGGTTGTGGAAGTTTTTGATTGAGTTTCTTTATCAATTTAGTCACTAATTTTTTTTCATTAAGTATTTTCATTAGGTTTTTCGTTCAATGTTTTCATAAATTTTTTCATTCAGTTTTCCAGGAAGTTTTTTTCATTAATATTTTTATTCAGTTTATCATTAATTTTTAATTAAGTAGATATTGAGAGAAGTCATCAATATTTAGATGCATGCGATGGTCTAATTATCTCTTGAGTTGATAAGCTCAGCAATTTATGTAGTCACGTTAATAATTTTCCCATCATAAACGTCATTTTATATAAATTATTTTCAAATAGAAAAAAAGATTTGATTTCATCCCTCACAAGAAAAAATCATAGCATACCCACACATTCCTTAATCCCATTTACCCCCATCATCGAAAGCCTTCCCCCCCTCCCTTACTTCATCCCCATGATGGGACACTTGTGCGTTATTATATAGGGTTTAGTTTACAATCTCCCCCATCCCCTTTATTTCCCTAATTTTCCCCACCTCTTTCAATTCCCTGCCCTCTTCATCTCTAATACCCAGAGCTGCTTTTCCCCTTTCTGCCCTTCTCTTCCCTCCACCCCCTCCCCCTCCCCTACTTCTCTCATGACGTCACTATTTTTATATGGAAGATGCCAGACGTATGAGAGGTCCAAGAGGCCCAAGAGGCACATGAGTCACAAGAAGCTCTGTATGTGAGGCCAGTCCTCACTATCATGAGGCTGAGGCTCTAACTTAATGGTTTTTATCGACATCTTCATGCCACTATAAACATCGGTCTGGCTCGCCCTGATAAGGGTAGGGCTACACTCTCGGTTCCGGCGACACGGTGGTGGCGTTACGACGTGTTACGATGCGCGCGGTATGGACGCAGAAATATCTTGTTTGTGCCAGCAACTTCTGCGGATAAATTGATCCGGCTTTTGATTATATTACCTACAATGACGATGAAATCCAGCCTGAATTTCACAATAAAAATTTATTATTAAAAAATTGAGATTTTAGATATCCTCCAAATTGTGTTCTCGTTAAAAATCTCATGATATTATTCATGATCTTATTACCTCCAAGGACGGTGAAATTCCGGGCAAGCTAAAAATGTCAAAATTGTTCTTCAAAAATGTGGTAATCATACATATATGAGGTGACCATACATGGCTTGACTTTACAATATTCGTTAAAAATGTTACCCGCCGTGAGCTTGCATTTGTAATCGTTCAATGTTTCTGTAACATACGAGTTCATCGAACTACCTAACTGGTTTTTAAAACTCGGATTAGTACACGTAGCGACTTCTGTGTTGCGTAAATACTACAAGTTGATCGTAACTGCAAACGATGGTATTATGAACATATTTCCGGGCCAAGCTACGTACAAGAAGTACACATAATATTACGACAGGACATGTGTCTAAGTTATTCCTAAGAGCTAACGTAAGTGGAGTTACGAACAACTTCTGAGTGTCTGATGTTATTCGAAATTATAATTTTGCAAAAAATGTGAATATGATGAGGTGAAGAACGGTGACATGAAGAATATGATGATTATAGTGAGGCCACGTGAGAAACTCGCGTGAACTTTGACCTACGAACTTTTACCTACGCGGAAGATGTTCTCCCACGCGCGATCGAGTTGGAGCGGTCACGCCTTTGGGTGTGATCTTTGTGTCAGATCACAGGCTGGTCGTGATATACCGATCTATTGCTCGTGATCGACTGATTTTTGGACGCAGGTTACCTCTGGCACCGCAAAAACGTGAGCAGCGATCAACCTGATCTGCTGGATTGAGCCATCATTGCGGGCGCCGTAAAAATTGCTTTATTTCATGCGTACTAGTTTGGTTAGGTTAGTTTTGGTTAGGTAAAGTTAGTTTAGGGTGGTAAAGTTAGTTTAGGTTAGGTAAGGTCAGTTTTGGTTAGATAGGTTTGGTTAGGTTAGGTTAGTTTTGGTTAGGTTAGATTAAATAGGGTAGGTCTGTTGTTTTTAGGTTAGGTTAGTTGTGATTCGGTTAGGTTTGGTTGGTTAAGGTTTGTTTTGATTTGGTTAGGTTAGGTTTCTTTTCATTAGGTTAGTTCTAATTACGTTGAGTTTGTTCAGGCTGGTTTGGTTAATTCTGGTTTGTTTAGGCTGGTTAAGTTAGTTATGTTTAATTTCGGTCAGGTTAGGTTAGTTTCGAATATTTGGTTTAATTTGTTTTCCTAGGAGAGACAAAAGAAATGCTCAGAAAATTTTTGGGCCCTTCAGTGAATGTCTCAGAGTGTTTCCACTGAATAATGCAGAGAAAGTATAGTCGATGAACTGACAGTCTTAACTTGTATTTAGTACCTGTTTTAAACTTCTTTTAGTAACGTTGTCTGTGAAATTGCACTTTTACAGAGCTTTTCCTTGAACTTTTACAACATGAATGATGACGCTTTGTGTGGGGTGGTTTATTTTTTTAAATTTCTTTAGACAACGTCCAACGTACAATTCACTTTTGTTGCATTTTTATTCCCTGTTGTGAGAACTTCTCTAATAGACGTGCAGCGAGTTTCTACACATGCAGATCCTGCAGCAATGTCTTTTCCACTTCAAGTCAGGAGTATGGCGTTTTTTTCACGTTGGAAACGTGTCATTTTTTATTCGTGTTTGAAACGTATCATTTTTTATTCATGTTTGGAACGTGTCATTTGTAGTTCATATTCGAAATGTGGCATTTTTTATTCGTGTTCGTAACGTGGAATTTTTTCATGCTCGGAACTTATCGTTTCTTATTCATTTTTGGAACTTGTCATTTACGATTAACGTCAAGAACGTGTTG